TACAATGGCAGCTCTAGGACAAAGTATGCAGGAGGAGAAGCATGGCAAATTTGAGATGACTTGGATGGGAAACGAATCACAATAGTGTGCATTGTCAATGAGATGCACACTGACGAGGTGATTTCTACGAAGGTTCTCACTTCCTACACATTTATCCACCTTGAGGTTAGAAGAGAAACCGTGAGAACTGACTAAAACATGCATCGTGTTCCAAACATTTGCTCAGCAAAGATTTTCCACAGTTTGTTTATACAATCAGCATGTCAGACAGGAAAAATAAAAATAAAAACCAACAACAAAGTAATAATGCCTTGAAAACATCAGACGTGTCATCATGCCTCACAGCAATGTTTGAACAAAGTAAAATATTAAAATACTCTTTTCTTTGACATACAGTTTATAATACCTCTAAATATTTAATTCAAGAAAAAAAAAGAAAGAAAAAGTGTGTTTTATTCATCAAATCAACTCAGTTATGTGCTCAAACTAAATATTTTAATCTCACCAYTTACATTTCTCATTGTACAGATTGTGACATGATCGGCTTCCGATTTTTAAAAAAAGTTAAATCAGCCCACAGACTGTTTAAAGAGGTATTTTCTTCCTGTTTCCACTCTAAATTACACTCGATGTGGTTCTGCTCCACTCCGGTCCCTCCTCCACAGCAAATATGCAACCATTATAATCAATGAGAGTATTTACACTGGCTCTGTAAGGCGGCGCAGGGCGGCAGTGAGTGGACGGCGTTCCGTCAAAATTAGATCCAATTTTTGCCAGAGGGCAAAGTGGAGCGGACGCTTTATACATCGGGATGCAAACAAACAGTGGCAAACTGCGCACCACAGTGGAGCAGAACCTCATCTAGTGTAAATTAGGGGTTAACTCTGCTGTGGATGCATTTAGTAAGCAACTCCTCACTAATACCAGTGTTTGCTACAGATTCCCAGGCAACTAAAGTCGACAGTCTTCATGTTTTATATCTAGACTCTAATAGTAATTTTATTTAAAGAAAAAAGTAGCTTAAGTGAGTGAATGATGATGTAGCTTGATTTTTCAGCTATTATGGCAATAAAAGTTTTACTGTAAACCTTGGTTATTGCTCAATCCCCACAGGCAAAGCTTACAAAACCACATTTATATTATCCCAAAGCAACACTGTGAGAATAATTCCAGCCGGTTCAGATGTTATCAGTCCATTAAATGGACGTTATTAGCRGTTATCAGTCCCATAGAATGGCTTCAGACTAGGGGACTGTCCCCACTAGGGGACTGTGCCTCCTAATGGGATACCAGTGCCATATACATTGGAATGCAACAGTCTGCTACCACCGGAGTCCGGTCTACTTTATCGTAGCCCATGTTATTTTCTCTAAAATTAACCTTAGTGGTTTTATGCCTCATATTAACCAGATGACAGTCTGAAGTCATTCTATGGGACTGATAACGGCTAATAACGTCCATTTAATGGATGAAAACATCCGAAGCGGGTGATGATACAGATTTTCCTGTGCTGATAATGTATCTGAACATGAACTTKTGTCTGCTGGAACTTTGACTCACACCTGCTTCAGCAGCAGCCCGTACGGACGGAGGGATTCCTGCACRATGGCCTTTGTCTGGAGGTCGTTGTGGCCTTCAGGGATGTACACCAACCACACATCTTTTCTGTTGCATTCCTTCCTGCTCTTTGGGTTGATGCGGTTCTGGAGAACCACCTTGTACTTCTTCCCATCCACCTTGGATGTGAACATCTTGCAGTACTTCTCCGCCATCTTGATGTCTGGTGTGGAGTACACGCCCCTACCTCTCGTCTCCACGTTGACCATGCAGGCGGCGCCTGCATCCAGAAAACTGGGCTCGTCATCCGCTTGGCTCTCGCGGCCGAGGATGATGCCGAGGGAGCCGTCCATGTTTTGTCCTTGGTAGGAGACAGGCCAGGCGTCCTTCCCGGTCCCGAGCCAGGAATCCCCATCATCATATTTCTGTAGGACTTTCAGGGCCACCCGGTTCCACCCGCAGGGACGAACATACTTCTCATTACCACGCAGAAATGTCTTATCACCATCCTGAGGGCCAGGAAAGATGTTAACAGTTATAGCAGAACAATACTAAATATAAATCACAATTCTACTGAGATTACATGTAACACTCAGTACTGACACTTTTTCTGTGATTGAATGTGTGTCTGTTTTACAATTAAATCATCCTTTCTGGGATAAATTTKCTCACTCTGTTGCTCTTATTCACTTGCTTGTTTCCTAATTTAAAGTAGACATATCCTGCTTTTAAATCTGTATTTTTCACATTTAAATCGTTCAGTTGGCGTCTTTATGAAGTGAAACTACAATGCTTTAGTGAATTCRTCCTCATTTTAACTTTACCAGCCCCTCTTTCACCCCCTTTTCTGAGACGTGTCTCAAGCAGCTGATTTTGTTACTGCTTCAAGCCCCGCCTCCATCCGGCTTCCAGACCGGTCCACTCCGGTTCAAGAGAGGGCATTACATTTTTTATTACATTTTTTTAGCAGTGAAGAGCCRTTTTATTTACTATTTAAATAAGACGTCAACAACAGAAGACTTRTCCATCCAGTCTTATATGTTGACCCAGAACCAGAGGAGAATTAARACGAGGAAATTGTAGTCGGTAATTCCAGACCTTATGGTAATTCCGTCACAGATAATTTGACATAACAGATTCAGAAAATATAAAAAGAGAATACTGAATGGGCTGAAAAATTTGACCCAAACTAAATAAAGATATCTTTGCAGCACCAGGAGAGACTAAATGAAACAATTCTGCCTCCTGGAGACTCCAAGTCCACAACAAAATGTATTCAACAGCTAAAAAAGTGGATTTTGCAGAATATGTCCCCTTTCATCTAAATTAATCTGCTCTAAAAAGCCAGAGTCRTTTTAGTATTTCATAGGAAGTAATGACAAGAAACTGTTAGATCTTTAACCCCAATCAGATTTTTTCACTTCTCAGTTTCAGCATGTTTAAACCTGACTCATTACAWTATTAGACCTTGGTCATATGACATGTTACACAACCAAATAAACAAAGCTTCATATCTGCTCACCTTAACTTTGGTGAAATCATAGTCATACTGAGGGTGGAAGAAGTCCTCAGGGTTGATCTTCACCATTTGTTTGAGGCTCTCCCCAGGTCCCTCAGTCAGAGCCGCGGGGCTGCTGTACAAGTCCTCATCGTCCTGCAGGGACAGAGTACCTATGCTCGGGTACTCCAGCTCTCGAAATCCCTCCTGTTTGTAAAACTCCCTGAGGGCTACAACGTTGACAAAATCCTGGGGGGTGATCTGCGAGGCTCCACTCGTCAGCTCGACGTTGCAGCCGCAGAGAACTGACAGGGCCTGCAGGCTCAGCCTCTGATCTGCCATGGTGCAGACAGGTAATAAAGGAAAGCAGGAGCAACGATCGTAAACGTTTAAAAAATAGTGGAAAAAACTCTTGTTAATCCTGTAACTGAGCTGAGTTTGATCTTTTTAGGGAGAAAAAAAAAACGGAGAAAAGGAAAACCTGACTTCCTGCCTGCTCTGCCTAGAACAAATGCTCCTTTTAGTTTCACTTTAGACTCTTTCACTTTCACCTACAGCCTCTCCTGGAAATCAGACCATTGGAAATGAGACTRGGTGTGCCCAGACTGGGAGTTATTAATACTTTATTGTATTTATCTGCCTCTGAAGYCATCTAGTCTTCAAAAAGTTTTAATTTATGCATCATTTGTTGTATCTGGTTGGAACTGACTTACTCAAGTAGCTCTTATAACAAAATAAAAAAGCTTACAACATCAGATAAGAAAAAAATAAGACAATAAATACAACTGATATATATATTTTATTAAATTACAAAAACTGACATAAGTAAGTATTTTTTGTTGAATCTGTGCTTCTGTTTGCTGTTTAATAAATCCTGCTGCAAAAATAAGAATCCTAAAKAAAGCCTACATGTACTTTATTTATCCACATAAACGTCTCATTAAGAATAAAAAAACTATAAAATAAAATWAAAAAAGACCATGTGTCCATGTCCAAGTCTAAAAATAGGGACGGCGCAGTCAAAACAAACGAATCATCCACTCTCAGCCAGCAACAAATGTACCTTTACTGTTTGGATCTCCTCAGAAAACTATTCCTATGTACATTTACATAGGTAAAATATGAATCTATGTAAAATAAACCTTTGTTTTTCTTCTTTATTCTTGTTCATGAAGTTGCTTTAACTCGTGTTGACTAAACTTAAAAGAAAGACCAATGTTTTTTTTTTTGTCATTTCACTATAATTCACCAAACTCTAAGTTAAATACCCCCCCCCCCCACACACACACACACACAGTGTTTATTATCTGACCTGATCTTTGCTTTCCCTTCAGGTAAACAGGTTTGTTGCTGCTGTAATCCAGCCAGCCAGGATTCCAGGTGTAAGGTTGCAGAGGTAAAGCTGACTTTATGCAACTTTAAACTATTTAGTTTATATAAAATACAAAGGTAGGCTCCGTTATATTATTATTAGTTGTAACAGTAGTTCTATTCCATCCATCTGTTTTCTGTTGCCYATCAGAGGTCAGGTAACAGAGGCAATAGTTTCAGGAAGGAAACCCAGATACCCCTCTCCCCAGCAGCACTCTTCAGCACCTCTTGGGGGACTTTAAGGTGTTTCCAGGCCAGGGGGGAAACATAATCCCTCCAACAAGTTCTGGGTCTGCCCTGAGGACTTCTCCCAGTGATCAATGAGAGCAAATCCATTCAGCTCTCTGTATCCAGGATCTTGTTTTTTTTTTTTTAGTTATGATTCCTGTCAACAGGTGAGGGCTGGACTGTAGACAGACCAGTAAAATGAGAGCTTTGCCTTTTGACGAAGCTCCTCCTTCACCATAACAAACCTGACCAACGCCCTCGTTACTGCAGATGGTGCTCAGYTGATCAGTTCATCTCCTGATCCATGAGCTCCTCCTTAAGGCAGAAGGTCCAACAATGCAACACAACCAGAAAAAAAGCACAAAAAAGTGTCATGTTTTGGATGGAACTTTATTTTCTAGATCAGGTTCAGTTTTCATTTTGATCATTATATCTTATTTCAGTATTTAGTTTTGTTTATTTGATCTGTTTGTTTCAGTTTCGTTTCCTTTCGTTCTGATTATGATGAATTTTGATTCTCAGCTTCCTGCCACGCCCACTCTCCTCTGGTCCTTCTCATCTCTCCTCAGGTGTTTCTCGTTCTCTCTCGTTAGTTTTCCTTCACATTCTGTCTTTCTGCTGCAGCTCCTCTGCTCTTCATTGTTCTGTTTCCTGTCAGCTGTAATTTTCCTTCTTGTCCTCCCTTTGATGGTTGTATTTTATGGCCTTGAAAGGTTTTTTATTTTGGTAATAAACCAGGTTTCTCACAGTCCACGAGTCCTGTTAGCGTCTTGAGTTCAAAGTCACTCTGGGATCATGTGAGAGAACTTGGCTCAACCCATTTGCAAGAAAAAAAAGCAAGTTTAGTCCCATTTAAACAGAGGCAAACAAAGAAACGTTAGTTTCAAACACGCCTTTGTTTACCATTAATGTGAACCTGGAGTATAATCTCATTTCTGTCTCTATAGGTAGAGTCTTTACATTACTCCAGCCTGAGACATGTAGACAGACCTGGTCCAGTTGGCAGGGGTCGACCCAGGCTTATCGAAGACCTCACCACATACTCGGCAGTGACCGGATGCAAGAACTTCACTGGATCCCAAAACCAGATTTAACTTTTTTTTTCTCTCTTAGCTCACCATTCAGCAAGGAAGACTGTTTTACTGTTGGATAAAAATGTTATTGTTAATTTTAAGTTACTTTTTTATTTCTATTAAAGCTATTTTTTTACTGTTTTTACTTCTTTAAGTTAGCCAGTATTGTTTTAAATGATGTCACAGCTGTAAAAATAGTGCTCCACTTCAATTTTTAAAGAAACAACTATACTGCTGYTTAACAGAAGAATGCGAATGTTAATAAATCCAAAGACTTTTTTAATGTTTATGAAGGAATGTGYAGGATCCATGTTTTTAATCTCCATATTATGTCAGATTTTCACATTTATTTCACTCTGTCACTTTTTGAATAAACTGTAGACTCAAAAAGGTGYGGCTTTCTTGGTTCATGTGTTTTATTTACTGGCTGTGTGTTGGAYAATAGACTCACAGTTAAAATGAGTTTCTAACTTTAATAGAGATGCTGAGATGAAGGGAAAAGTGCACAGATGAAGTCAGAAATCAGAAGACCGCGCGTTTGGCTGCAGGTCTGGTGATGACWGAAGAATAAATAACGTTGTGGTTCTGGTTTGGTGGAGGAGAACTGGGTCTCTCCCTCCAGTTCTGTCGGCCCAAAGAAGCGTAGTGGATCATGTCCTCCTGCTGGGACGGACCTTCAAACCCTTCATCGTCTGCAGACAGACAAAAGCATCAAGTCAGTTCACTTTCATCTGGCTCTTTATCAAAACTACTTTTATTATTTGATTTTTACCAATTTGAGGTCTGGACGTTATCCACAACTGCAACTCTGTGTCGTCTTGTCTTTTTGTTGCTGCAGAGTACACAACATGCAGCTTTTTAAAACTTTGACTTTCAGTTTAAACTACATTTACTTTTTRCTTCCAAACATAAACACAACAAATTTTTAAAATCTTAGAAATTAACTCTGTAGTGCTCTCTGGTGGGCATATTTTACTCTTGTAATATCGTTACTGCAT